GTGAATTAATTTTTGAGGTATTAAATATATACAACTGATTATAAATTATTGTATATAAACCAGAAGCAGGACCCTCATCTGGGTTTACCACTCTTTATACCTGTTCATACACACAGGACAGCAAGGAGAGCCCCACCTTCCTCCCATCACCAGAAATGTCTGGAGTGGGGTTTCTATACAAGCAGCAATAGAAACAAGTACAAAGCATCAACCTCAAAGCAGGTGATTGCTCTGTCGTGCAGTGGGAGTTTGGGTTTGGTCCTGAGCCACAGGAGGTAAAAAGCAGATGCAGGAGCATGCCCTTTCCAAGGTGGCAGGTTCCTTGTGAGGCTCACACAGAACCAGGGTGGGTCCACAGAGGATCAGGTGAGATGTGGCGTGAACACATGCCACTTCAGGGCACCACACATGACCACAGGTGCTCAGTTTTGGCTTCATAGTCCTGACAGCCAAGACATCCTAGCCCCGCTCTTGGGAGAGCTAGCCCAGCCTCAAGTCAGCGAGGGAAACCCTTGAGTACAGCCCGCTTCACACTTCCTAAGCTGCTGAGATCCCTCCCCTGGTCCTCCAGGAAAGGTGGGAAGAGCTGTTAAAGAGAGGTGTGCATGATTTGTGCAGGCCAGTCTGATATTTGTTTCCTTGGTTTTGAGTCACATTCTGCAGCTGATAAATGAGTCATACACAACAGATACACATTGGCATAAATATGTTTGGAAACAAAGGCTTACCACCCTAATGTTTTTAAGTGGGGAGTTTGAGACACAAGGATTATATATTATGGATTTAACCTAGGTTTTAAGTTTTAGGTTAACAAAAGATATGTTTTACAATGGGCCTGATGTCAGTCTACTTTGTTGACGCTTGGCAACTGTACCAAGGATGTATTTTCTTTGTTCACCTGGAGATTAGAGGTCTGGTCCCCAAGCCTGCATGAGAGTCTGGCCTGAGAGAGAGATGAAAACTGCTCTTGAATATGTTGTGGCGAGCTCTTACAGCTCCTTTGGTAACTGCTGGTGTTTGAATCCTCTTCTGTTCTGGTTTCCTGTCATCTGACTAACTACTACAAGTCAGTAACTATGAGATGAGGACATGAATTTGCTGAGTATTGGTCTTTCCCAAATTCTACTCCAGTAAAAGGTGACACCAGCTAACGAGAGCTGGGTAAATCTCGGGTGTCAGGTTTGCATTTTATCCTTTATCTTGACAGTCTTAGATTTACAAATTGTATTCATAGTGGTTATTAACAGTTTAAACGTCTAAGGAAATCTGTAGAAACCACTTTCTTACTTGTAAGATGTGCTGGAAAGTCTAGACCACATAATAACTTAGTTGCCATAGTATCACATGCTCCATCCCAAAAGGAAAGGACCTTTTGAGTAAGATGAAGATTCTAATTCTGACTTGCCTTGAACATCAACATGTGGCCATTTTCTTTAGCAATGGCCTGTGTCCCATGGGACTAGGTGGGCTTTTGCAAGCACTGTATCTCTTGGAATAATGTTTCTTGGGATATCCAAACTATACTGTATGTGTATAGACATAGAAGCTCTTTGAAACAGCTCTGTCAGCTGACCATAATTGTGCTGGCTCTGGCTCTCAGGGCCCTCTGGCTCCTCCCTCTAGTGGTCTATCCAGTCAGTCTCCTGCCCTGGACACCTGGGATCTCCACTGGTTTTACTGACAAATAATGTCAAGTTGGAGTTATGCTTCCTTTCTTACTTGCTGATTTTCCTACTAAATGTAGCATTTCAATTAGACCCAATTCTTACATTTTAAGATAATTGTAAAAAGAATGAAATTATGAAGAAATGACCAATATCTTTTATCAGTCTGTTCTTTTGGAAGCTGTCATGCACTATACATTGTGTACAGTTAAAGTATATATATATATATATATATTCTTACTGAGTAAAAAGCACCCTCTCCCATGGTTTGTATGTCTTAGTATCTGAGGAGAATGCTCAGTGACCTGTTGCTGCTGCTGCTGTTCTGGTTTATATGGGTTTTGTCCTGTTTTGTTTTTGTGTGGTAAATTGATATTTAAAAAACAAAAAGAAAAAAAAACCACAACTACTGTTTACAGACTGAAAAATCACTGCTTTTTATACTACTGAGATCCTAAGTCAAGACTTTCCACAGCAGGCATTGGGTTCAAGTTACTGCTCTGACGTGGACGGAGAGTCCTCTGTAGTGTCTCCACATAATGGGAGAGTGTGCACAAACCTAGGTGTGCTGCCATCAATTTTGTATATTTTCATAATTTTAATTGTTCAAAATTGCATTATATTTTGCAATCACCACATTCAATCTGTATTTGTCTTTCATTTCAACTTTTTCAATATAAAAAGGGGTTCAATGTATCTTCAGGCTTGTTGAAACTCTTCCTACTTTTTGATGTGATTTATTGGTATGGGAAATCCACTCTTGAGAATTAAGTGAAAGGCAGCAAATTGGCTTTAACTGGACAGGTTAATTTCCTTAAGTGTTTTTATTTTTACTTGGCACTTTTGCCTGGTTCATTTTTGTTCACTCTTAACAGTTAGAGCTTCCTCATCTCAATTCTATACTGAATGTTATCCCTCCCTTGGGCTAGCCCTGGCTGGAGGCAGGAGGATCAAGTCAAGACCATGTGCAGCTATAAGACACTGTCTTAAAAAACAAATGAAAATAAAACCAAAAGACTGAAGGTCAAAACTAATCTTTGTGGCTTAACAGTAGTGCCTTGCACACTTGCATTTATTAACTAACAGGTTCGGCTCAAGCAGTTGTACTACATGCTAGTTACTGTGACCCTACGTCCTGGTTGGAGGCTGTGTGGTGTAGAAAATCTATTACGTGTGATGGAAGTTGTTGCAGTGTGTCTGGAAATCTGAATGAGTCAGTGCAAAGGCTCCACCTAGGAGAGTGACTAGAAGGCTTCAGGCTGTCTTGTGATAGCACCTGCTCAAGCGCACACTAACCATGCAGTGGGAGCAGGAGCTATTTTCCTGATCCTTTTTGTCCTGATAATATATGCCCTTAGTTTTGCCTGCTTCTTCAGGGAGGAATTAACTTCATCTGAATATTTTTTCCTTTAACAAAAAGAGTGCTTGCCTGAACCTCACTACTGTTCTTAACTTTCCCAACATGATTTTGGGAAATGACTTTGCAGACAGTATGATGCCAGCTTTACAATGGTGAGTACAGAGCGAGTCACATGATCAAACACATTATTTGGGATTTTCTATTGCAGTTCATACTTGAGGGGCGCAGCTTTGTGCAACTTGTAACTTCTGTGGATGCCAGGAACATGCGTGGGTCCCACATAAGAGTTACAATCTAGATTGTTTCTTTGTGCAACTGTGCTTCCCCCTACGTACACCCAAAGCTAGCCCTGACTTCTTTGTCTTGCCCTACTCCACCCTTTCAATGGTATTCATTACTAAGAAATGCTCCTTAATTTAATAGGCCCTTTTGGCACTATCTGAGAAAATGTTTAGGTTCTTTAGAATAAAATTTGCTATGTTGGATCCAGTGTTTATTGCTTCAGGTTATTGAAGAATTCCCTTAAACAGTATGTAGCTGTGTGACCCTAAGAAGTCAGACTCTACGTAGCCATCATTAGAGCCTGCTTACTGCCCTGGGCCAGTGTTGTGGAAGGCTGCAGTATGAGGTAGATTGCATTTCTGTGGCATAGGTAAATCTTTTAAGCAGATTTAACTTGAAATAAAAGACATGGTAATTTAGTCCCACTCCAGAGCTCCTGAGATTAGAAATGATAGCAGCCAGCCTGAGCCCATCCTGGGAGAGCCCAGGGTAGGCTGCCACTGTCCTGCTTCTGTCATAAAGGATGAAGAGGCTAAGTAGGTCCTCTACTTTCTACAAAACAGCAAATATTCTGTTCTTTGGAGTTGGCCTGGCCTAGATCCAGGTATAAATTTAGAGCAGCTAAGGCAAGTCATGTTTCAGAAGCACCCAAGGAGACGAGACAGGGTTCTGATTAAAATAAAATCCTAGCAGCTAGAAAGATGGCTTGTTCGGCAGTTAAGAGCCCTCAAGGACCAGAGTTTGGTTCCCAGAGCTCTCAACTGTCTACTACTTTAGTCCAGAGAGCCCCACCCCCTCTTCTGGCCTCCATGTCACTGCACACCCGTGCACACTGTGCGCATCCACGCAAGCACTCTTACACTAGAAATGAAAATACTAGGTTCTCTGGATTTCAGAATCCTTACTGAGATGTGAACTCTGCGCTGGCAGCAGAGGCTCACATGTGGGCTGGTTCACACCCGTCTAAATAGCCAGATGTTCTGCTTGATCCAGGCTTTTATCCATGCTGACAGCTGTACATAGAGGAACAGCATTTTATAACAGGTGGGGTGGAGTCACCTTGTTTAATAAAAGTTGATTTTGCCTGGCAGTAGTGCACACCTTTACTCCTAGCACTCAGGAGGCAGAGGCAGGCAGGTGGAGCTCTGTGAGTTCAAGGCCTGTCTGCTTTACAGAGTGAGTTCCAGGACAGCCAGAACTGTCACACAAAGAAACCCTGACTGGAAAGCAAAAAAAAGAGTTGGTATTGACTCAGTAACTTGGAGCAAAGTGACACTGCTGGAAAGTAATTTATAACTTTTAAATTGAAATGATTGTTCCATTTGGTTGTGTACATTTTTTGTTGTTGTTGAGATAAGGTATGCACCCCTGGCTGGTCCTCAAATTCATTATGTAGCTGAAGCTGGCCTTGGAATCCTGATCCTTCCTTGTGCCTCTGCTTTCCTAGTGCTCAGATTTCAGATATGTCACCACATCTGGCTTTGGTGCATAAATTCTAAATGCCATATATAAGGTACCACTAAGAATTTGCTCTGTAGAGAGAAAGCATGAAAGGCAATGCCCTGTTGCTAACTCACTGATGAGGTCAGAGGGTAGTACCTTGTGCAGGGAAGAGTTCTCCTGATAGGAATCCACACAGCCGAGACTCAAAACTGTACTCAAATTATAGGCCAACATAAATCTGAAAAGAAAACCACCTAACCAAAACAGACCTTTATTTGTTCAGAATGAACTTCTCTGTAGCACCAATTCCTCTTTGGGGGCATCTCACTAGCCTTGACTGAGCGCACAGTTCCACACACTGGCTCAGGGGATGTCCTATGTATGGTCTCAGCAGCATCAATGTCCGGGAGTACTCAGAGCTCAGGTTTCTGGTTCAGGACTGCTTTGTTCCACCACCCCTTATACCCCACAGGGGCCTCACAGCCAGCAGGTGGCTCTCCTCTTCCTGCCCCCAGCAAACCCTGTCACAGCTCCTCCTTCTCAGCCCCCTTCTTCCGGAAGGCAGTCAGGATGTTTAAGCTCTTCTGCAGTTCTTCCTTCTTGCTGTCACTCATCTTGTTCTCAATCAGCTTGCCAATCCGATTCGTTTCTGAGGCTGGGAAGTCCTCACCGTGGTCCAAGATCTTCCCCATGATCTTGAGGTACTGGCTGGCCCACTTCTTCTCTGTCTCCTTCACACCTGAGAGGCCATCCTGCCCCTGTTTCAAGATGGCCTGGCGGGCCTCTATGCTGGAGGCTTTGATGAACTCACCTGCCAGGGCATCATACGCAGGCAGGCAACCAGGCATGCCCAGGTAGACCCCCTGCCCCTTTAGCCAGCGCTGGATGGCTCCGACCTTAATCGCCCCACTGTATGGGATAGGGTTCTCAAAGTCCCCATCCCGGAAGAGGTAGAATACTGGGTAGTTCTCTTTGTCCAGCTTATATTTTTCACTTAGCTCCATGTTCAGCTTGTCACCGTAGTCTGTGAACAGAAACCAGACATGAGGAACTAGCAGAACATCTTAACAAGCCTTAGCTGTGTGGCTTTACTGTGTCATTCAATGGCTCTATGTTTTTTTTTTTTTGGGGGGGGGTTTGCTTTGTGGAGGACAACTGATCTGAATATTGTATGTGCCATGTGCCAGAACCTGTGGTGGGTGTGAGGGCCTAGTCACAGTTCAGATGTCAAGCTCTGATGCTGTAAGGAGCTTGTACTCTATAGGACCGAGAGAGACTACACAGGGCACAGTAAATACTTGTATTGTAACCAATAGGGTGATGGCACAGTTCGTGGGGTGAGGAAGCTCTTGTGGTCCAGGCTATGAACACAGCTGTGGGATCTGACTTCAGAGGAGTCAGCCATATGAAGACGTGGGGTAGTGTGGGGTCTGGACAGGGACTGAGGTTGGAGGTCATGAGCCACATACAGCCATGCTGGCTGTAGCATTAAAGAAGAGTGTTTATTCAATATTGACTACAACACAACACAGACCATGTAGGTAGACATGTGAGGGAACACCCTCCCCCAAAGGGCATGGTAGTCTCCAAGGCTAAAAGGTATGATGGCTGCCAGGTGGGTTCTGAGAATTGAACCTAGGTCCTCTGGAAGAACAGCCAGTGCTGAGCCATCTCTTTAGCTCCCTAGGTCTGGCATTTAACTGCTACACTCAATCTTAAGCATCAGGCCCTGGTCTGAGACACAGGTGACATCCCATAGTACTTCCCCCACAGAGCACACAGGAGATAAAGGATGAATGTTGGCCCCACTGCAGGTATTATTTACCAAGCTCTGAAAAGACTGGAAATTGAATAAACTGCCTAACTACTCTGGAGAAGTATGCCAGCCAGCTCTACTGCTATCACACTGCAGGAAGTTCCTAGGGTCCTCCCAGCTGGAGGTGTGGGTCCTTCAAGACAAGAATGCCAGAACCCAACAGTGGCATAAAATCTGAAATGAAGACAAGAGGATGGCATTTCTCTTGTCCCCTGCCTTGCAAGGTTTGAGACTCAGTTCTCAAGGTAAGTCAGACAAGTGAATGTTTGGGAAGAGGAAGAGTAGTCCCCCCCCCCCCCTTTTGAGACAGGGTCTCTCTGTGGCTTTGGAGGCTGTCCTGGAACTAGCTCTTGTAGACCAGGCTGGTCTCGAACTCACAGAGGTCCACCTGCCTCTGCCTTTCGAGTGCTGGAAATAAAGGCATGTGCCACCAACGCCTAGCGAGGAGGAATCCCTTAAGGCAGCTATATGATTATTTCTGGTTCCATGGGCAGCACCTGCCTAACTTGCTATAGGCACTAAGTCTTAACAGACCACAACCAATTTCTCCAAGGAACTGGCTCAAAGGGTATTCCCCCCACCCCCCAGCAGGGAAATGAGCCCTAGCTTCCTTCCCTCCCAGGTCCCTCCCCAGTCATATTGGACTTGTCCATACCTGAGATCCCCACCTCTGCCACCAAGAGATCATCGCTGGAGGCCGAATTTTCAGCCAGCCGCTTGAACTCGTCCTGCTTCTCACCATAGGGATACTGGGTGTCGAACTTCACCAAGACGAACTTGCTTTTGGGGATGACCTGAGGGCGCATAGAGCTGAGCAAGTCGGGTGTTGAGGGACCCTTAGGGCTAAATCCCCTTCCCAAGGGACCCCTGTTTAAGAAACAGAGTGGAAGCAAGCCTACACAGGAGACAAGCTGTCCCATGCTACCATTCACCGATTCCTCTAAAGGTTAGGACATGCTTCCTTGGCTGGGTATCTCACTGGGAATCTGTGCACACTCAAGAAAGACAAAGAGTAGTGGATAAATAGCTGAGGCCTTCCCCTCAAAAGTGTCTTTCAATGCCAAGGGGACTTTAACATGCACTTCTATCCTCAGACATCTCAGAGGGTCTTTCTCAGTAAAGCTCAAACACTCAGAGTGCTTTGGCCATAGAGACCAGAGTTTGAACTAAACTGAGCAATTTCAGGTCAAGTAGAAGGCTGGTGAGAGGCCAGACTTGGGTCAGTGTCATCTCCTAAGACCAGAGTTCCCTTTGCCTACATCTCCGCCTTAAATTGTTGAGGCCAGGATTTTAATTGTGGTAAAGTTAATATAATGAAATATTTCTCAATCTTCTTTTTCCCCCTCTCTTTCTTTCAAGACAGGTTTTCTCTGATTAGACCTGGCTATCCTGGAATTCTGTAGCCAGGCTGGCTCACATTGATCTTCTTGTCTCAGTTTCCTAAGTGCAAAGGATACATGCATGTATCACCATAGCCTGGCTTAGTACTTTGGACATTTCCCCCCAAGTAAACCACATATCAGCTGATAAACTCTTGATTGGCTCCTTCCTCTTGGTTATTGTACATAGCACTGCCCTAAAGGTTCACATACATGTTTTGTTTGAGCACATACATTCCATCCCTCTGGTTTACTGGGTACCAGGGGTTTATAATGGTGAGTACATTTAACTTAGAGCCCAAGACTTCCTTTTGGTGTCTTCTTTCAATGCATACATTTTATCTAACTAGCTTTGATCAGCAATACTGCCTACCCTTCTTCAAATTAAAAAGCCAAAACAACTTACTTTCATTTTAAATTTTGTGTGTGTGGCTATGTGCATCTGAGTGCAGGTACCCAAGGTCAGAAGAGGGCGTTTGATCCCCTGGAGCTAGAGTTACAGGCTGTAAGCTGCCTGACATGGTGCAAAAGCAGTGCTTGCTCTTTTAACCACTATGTCATCTCTCCAGCCGACCCCCAACCTTACATGCTTGTAGTCTGGCAGTCTCAAACTGTCATATTTTCTTCACAGGCCATCATTAGAGGTAAAGAGGCCTTATTATTATTAACATTCACTTGGTTTTTTTGTTTTTGTTTTTTTTTAAAGATTTTATTTATTTATTATGTATACAACATTCTGCTTCCATGGATATCTGCACACCAGAAGAGGGCACCAGATCTCATAACGGATGGTTGTGAGCCACCATGTGGTTGCTGGGAATTGAACTCAGGACCTCTGGAAGAGCAGTCAGTGCTCTTAACCTCTGAGCCATCTCTCTAGCCCCATTCACTTGGTTTTACATGCATACACCTTTAATCCCAGCACCCAGGAGGCAAAGAGACAGGCAGATCTCTGTGAGTTCGATGACAGCTAAGGCTGTTAAACAGAGAAACCCTGCCTCAAAACAAAACAAAACAAAACTGCCTAGGGAAATGAAGGACAGAAGCAACTAGAACAGTTACTGACACCAAAAGTTCAGGGCCCAGCAGCAGGGAAAACTGAAAATATAAACCAGATCATATCCCTGTGGCCCCGTTGACCTTGTTTCTCCTCAATACTAGTTCCAACCTGTCTAGAAGCCTCTTCCTGGGTTCTGTCTGCCTCTGTCATTCAAGGCTCAGTTTAAATGTCTCCTTATAGTTTCGAGAAGGATGCAATCACCTATTCGCTTCCTTAACCCTCCCATCTCACTCTGAAACCGTGTTTTATCAGCTCACTTTCTGTCCTTTCCAATAGGATTTGCATTTCCAAGGATAAGGACCATGGCCTGTGTTCGGTATTATGGCACCTACACATAACACACATATGCAACAGCACCATTGCATCCTGTCAGCTAAACTCTCTACTCAGTGTCCAACCACCCTATGGTTACTGGTACTCTGTATTATTACACATGTTGGCCCCCTGGTAAGGGTCCCTGTGTTGTGCTTCTGCCCACCTTGACTCACAACCATGCAGCACCAGCTCCCCAAGGACTGCTAGAGTTCTATTCAGAACATTTCTCAGAGTGTCTGCCATATACCAGATACTGGGACTGGAGGGGTGCACCGAAACACAGGCCATGGTCCTCCTTATCCTTGGAAATGCAGATCAGAGGACAACTGTGGCAATCAATTTTCTCCTTTCACCACGTGGCGCCACAGGACTGAACTCTGGTGGTCAGGCTTGGTAGAAGTGCTTTCCTGCTGAGTCATCTCATGGGTCCTTCACTGGCATTTTTAAAATAAGGTCTCATTAGGTTGCCTAGACTGGCCTTGAACTCACAACCTTTCTGCCTCTGCCTCGATAGTTGTGTGTGTGGCACCACTGTCTGGCTGAAATTATCTATTTGTTCACCGAATAAGAAGCTGGTAGACTTCACTAGATGCACTAGACATCACTGTAAACAAACACAGCAGTGAACAACATAGGGGCTTATCTAACGAAGCCGCCCAGTGATGAGCAAAAAAATAACAGAAAATTTAATTCTGAGTTGGAAACCACTGAAAGTCAAAGCTTGTAACAAGATTCCTGGCAAAACACGAGGAATTGCCCCTTGTTTCAGAGGAGTGAGATTTGGAAGGGACTAGAGACAAATGCTCATTCCCGTAAACACAGCACACCAGATCAACTGTCATAGTAGATGCTCAATAAACAATGTGGTATGCTGTGTAGAGTCAGAGAGAGGATCAGGTACTTCATCAGTATGTAATAATCTACTATGGGACATTTGAAACTGACAAGCTTGGTTTTCTTTTTTTTTCCCTGCCCCTGCTGGGATTAAATGTGTGCACTGCCATAGCCCCTCTTGAAAATGCTGAGTTTAAAAAAAAAAAAAAAAAAAAAACAATAGTGACAGAGCAACAGGACTGAATTCAAGCCTGGGGGCCTGAGAAAATAAGGAAAGGACCCGAGGGGATAATATTTAACCCAAGACAGAACAATGGGAAATAACATTTCAAAGACCCGGGCAAAGAATGTTCCAGTCACAAGGAACAGTGCAGATGTACTAACAGCTGTGAGCTAGCAACAGTCAGGAGGCTTCTGCTGGCTGGAGTAGATTGAACAAGGGGCATTCTCTATACAGGACTTGTTAATAGAGTCGGATCTCAAGGTGCAGGGATGCTGTTGGTAAACATGAGGAAGCACCTACTCATTAAACTTATGGTACTAAAGGGCCCTTTTCTTCCAAGTTGGACTGCTTGCTGCATTTCTCGATCGCTGTCTAGAGTTGAATGAGTGATTAATAATATGGCCAGCTTCTTCTTTTAAATTCCTATGAACAACACGTGCAAGGGTCCTTTCCAAACAGCAACCCTTTCCAGACGTATTTAGAGTCCTCTTCTGCTTTTCGGTTCCTCACTATGAGAACAAAATAAGAAAATGGACTACTTCTCGCCACGCTTAGCTCCCCCAATAGAGGAAGTGAGAAGCTGCTGGTGGCTGGAGACATGCATGAGGACAGAGTCTGGGTCCACAGAGGCCACTGCATTCAGCCTCCAACATTTCCACCATCTATTTACCCATACCTGGGTGCCAAATTTTGAAAAAAGAGCTGGGGGTAGTGGCGCCTCTTCTGTGCTCTGACCTGGTTGTGTTTATTTCGTTCTCTGCCCCCAAGATGTTCTCTACAGGTGGCAGAACTGAACCTTTTTAACCCTTGCACTTTGTATGGGTCCGCGTGCTGTGTGAACGTGGTTTGCACATTGCCAAGCAGGCTACAAGCCGTCCTCAGAGAAGAGGGGGAGCAGACCTGCTAAGTTCTCTTCGCCACCCCCCCCACCCCATCAGGAAGCCGAGGAGCGTCGACCTCGCCCCGCCCTTCGGTCTTCCACTTGGGACTCGTGGATTGGATCTCTCCCGGCATTGTCTTTTCCCTTTAGACAAAGGGAAGGGACACTTAGTTCCCTCGGCTGCATCTTGGTAGCTCTTTTGTAAAAGGAGGTAGCGAGTACCCGGGCTGCAAAGCAAAGGCAAGGGTGCCGGGTGGTCAGCGTGCTCGCCTGCTCTGCCAACACTGGGCCTATAGGAGGGTGGGATATGTAGGGGTGGTCCCTAAGGACTGTCTGCTGCCACCCCTCTGGACCCAACGTCCTCACGGGCGCGCGCTCCCACGGGAGCCTGGTTGCACCTACGCACGACCCCCGAGTCCTCATTACCTTATAGAAAGTGATTGTGTCCAAGGGAAGGGCGCCCTTCGTGTGCAGGCCGCTGCCGCCAGGCGGAGCAGAGAGGAGCAGCAGGCCCAGGAGAATAGACAGCAGTGGGGAGAGGGAAACGGCGGCAGGGACCGAGGCAGCCATCACAGCAGATTGCGGAAGATGGAAACCTGCGGACCGTGAGCTCGGAGTGGACGCTCACGTCACTTGGTGGGCGGTCCTGCGAGCGCGCATGCGCTCACGTGGCCACTCCAGGCCTAGGGTGAAAGAGATGGTCGCTCGAGGGGCGGGGCGACGTGAGGCAGTTGCGCGTGCGTAGTGGGCGAAGCTCAGGGCGAAGGCGCGGCTACATGATGGGTGAGCGGGTGACGACGCTTGAGCCGCGCGAAGCTAAGTTTCGACAATTCCCGTGCGGCCTTCTCTCTCCTTGGAAGCAGACGAGGCGGGTGTCCCTTCCTCCCCAGCGCTGGGCTCTCATGCTGTCTGTTGGGACCCGCCACCTCCTTCGGTTAGTCAGCTGTCTGTCACTTTAAGCCGCAGGCCCCCTCAGGCTGCAGCGCTGGTCAGGCCCACGGGGTACATAGGCACAGTAGCCTCCTGATGTAGTAGGTGGCACATGCCTATCACCTCAACACAACAAGGCAGGAGGGTGGCAAGACCGAACTGGGATGTGTAGTGAGAAAACAAGCATCCTTTTTGAGTGACTGCTAGGTTCTGATTGCATCCATGGGATTTCAGCCATAAAGTCTCGAAGGAATCCCCTGTCCCAGAAGACATGGGGATCACACCCAGCAGGCTGCGTGTGGTGTGCGGTGCAGGCCTTCAACCTCAGTACTAGGAAAACTAGCAGGCTGATTCTACATAGTGTGTTCCAGGCCTGCCATGACTGCATACTTGCCCCCCACCCCCACCCCATATACGTTCCATCAGCACCCAAGGAAACAGCTGGATCTAGGCCTGGTGTGTTGAGACACACCTTTAATCACAGCACTCCTGAGGCCAAGGTGGGCCTGAGTTCAAGACCATACTGGTCCACGTGGGGAGTTCTAGGCCACCCAGGCTAAACCTAGTAAGATCCTGTGTCAAAAAAGACAAAAAAGCTGAATGTGGCACACTTAGCAGTGCGGGGTAGGCAGACAGGAAGGTCCCCAAATCGAGCCTAACTGAATCAGTGAGTTCCAGGATTAGAGATTTTCAAAAAAAGATGGGGTTATCATTGAGGAAGATAGGCTGGCCACTCTACATGCATATACATGCACACAAACACACACACAAACACACACACAAACACACACACACACACACACACACACACACACACACACACACCATATAGTTCCTGGAAATTCAACTCAGCAAGTACTTTAATATGGGGAGCGATCCATCTCATCCCTTTTTGTTGCTGTTGTTGATTTTGTTGTTTTGTTTTTTCTTCGAGACAGGGTTTCTCTGTGTAGCTTTGGAGCCTGTTCTGGAACTCACTCTGGAGACCAGGCTGGCCTTGAACTCACAGAGATCCACCTGCCTCTGCTTCTTGAGTGCTGGGATTAAAGGCGTTCGCTACCACCACCCAGCCAGTTGGGTATGGTTTTAAGCCTCCATGTGGGTGCTGGAATGAAACCCTAGTCCTCCAGAAGAGCAGCCAAGCACTCTTAACCACGGGACCAGCTCTGCAGCCCCCACCTCAGCAGTCTGTCTCCCTCCCCCCCTTCTTGATCTCTTGTTTATGTGCATGGGTGTTTGGTCTGTGTATATGTTAGTGTATTATGTGTGTGACATGTGTATATCAAGAAGGCCAGAAGAGGCCATCAGATTCCCTGAGACTGGGTTACAAACAGTTGTGAGCTGCCGTGTGGGTGCTGGGAATTGAACCCAGGTCCTCTGGAAGAGCAGCCAGTGCTCTTACCCTTAAACCATCTTTCCAGCCCCTTCAGTGCTCTCAATAACAGTTTGTAGTTTTATAACTGTACTCTTCAGTGTGTTGATTCTACATAGCTGTGCCATCTACACTTGCTGCCCAGTGGCCACCCCTCTAATAGACAGCTAGATGCCCTCCATTTGACTGGCCATGTTTACCTTCACATCTAGCACAGGCTGTGCAGGTATGACATATGACCACTCTGTCAGTGTGACTTCTGTGATTCATGCCTACTTACTTTAAGCCTACCCATAGAAACTCTTCCCAGGAAACACATTTGGCCATCACTATGTCCTAAGAAAGACCTATCGGTCCTTCTCTGTCTGCTTTCTTACTTGTCTTGAATTGTGTGTGAGGTCTTCAGGGCTGCCATCTTCCCAGTAAGTATGAAAATCTTCACTCCTATCTCATCATTTTTCCAATCACTGCCAGGGTATTTCTCCACTTTAAAAGGTCTGTGTTCAAGTCAGTCCTCCCCAAAAGCATCAGCATTGTTATCCTTGATTTATTGCTTGACTGGAAAGGGAGGAAGCATTTGTGAAGCAAAGAGAAACAGTTCCAGTCAGAGACAAATATGGTCAAATATGTTGGGCACCACAAATCTGTGAAAAGGCAAACTGGGGGGCAAAATAAAGGCTTTCACTAATCTAAAGGGTTTAGAGCCACCAGAGGTTTTAGCTGGAGTGCTGTCAGAGGTGTGTAAAAGCATCACTGAAGAATGAAGAGAAAACTGGGCATGGTGGGACACACCTATAACCCCAGTCTTACTGGGCTGTTCTTGGGAAGGAGAGCAATGAAGACTGGAGAAAATCTGAGGAGGAGTTTGAAATAAGCAGTGTCCTGTCATGGACTAAATTGTGTTCCCCACACGCACTGTGATTGCATTTGGAGAGATAGTCCCTTTAAGAAAAAGATTACAGCTGGGCATGGAGGCACATGCCTTTGATATCAGGTGAATGGGAAACCAGCCTTGTCTACTTAGTTTCAGGTCAGCCAAGGTTGTATAGTGAGACAATGAGCAAATGAAAGGAACAGATCAGAAGAGAGAAAGCTGAAGGGAGTTAAGTATCTATTGCAGTATTAAAGGAGGTGACAGAAGTTAAAATCTGGTAATTTAAAAAAGCATACACAGATCTCTGAGTTCAAGATCAGCCCAGTCTATAAAGCAAGTTCCAGGTCAGTCAGGGCCACACAGTGAGAGACCCTGTCACAAACAAACAAAAAGACCCTTTTGTAGTATGGAATTCTGGGTGGTGGTTGCTGCAGTGGTGCTGGTGGAAGCCTTTAATCCCAGCACTCTGGAGGCAGAGACAGGTGGATCTCCATGAGTTTGAAGCCAGCCTGGTCTACAAAGCAAGTTCTAAGAAATCCAGGGCTACACAGAGAAACCCTGTGTTACAGAAAAACAATTGGTTAGATTTTGATTAAACAAATAGATTCAAGTGGAAGTAACTGTTTGAGCCTGCCCTTACTTACAATTGCTGCTCTCGGGCCGTGCAACACATTTTTGAAGTTAAGTGCCAAGGAAAAATGACTCTACAGCATGTTCACACAAGTCAACAACTACTGTCTGTCAGGGCACCAGGATGTACCAGTTGACAAATCATTTCTTTTGTGTGAATAAGCAGAGCTGCCTATGACTATATCAAATCAAAGCAGAGACTCTACATGTGTTTAACAGAAATACCCACGCCTGGAACTGTACAGAGTACCCCATTTTGACCCATCACTGGTCATGAGCCTTATGTAAGACACTGGCTGAAGTGAAAGACTTCTTCCTGTATGCCGAGACTCCAGGCTGAGTGCAGCTTCTCCATCATGTGACCCTTTGGACACTTCAGCATTTGAGATGCCCAAACTCCTGGGCCTGTGCTGACAACTCTGAGCCTGTATCTAGTAAGACTCTCCTTATGGCCCCAGCAGGATTTGAATTTAGATTTTATCCATTCAACTTCAGGACAGTCTCTCAGCACTCTGCAGCATCTGTAACTCTCCTATGGCCATCCTGTAATCTGCATAGGCATGTTATTGTATGACAGGGTAATGTGTGAGCTAAGAGTTAATACCATTAACTAATTCTGGAATAAAAGGAACCATGAATGCTAGAGAACAAACTTGTGACACACACCTGTCATCACAGCACTGGGGAAGTAGAGGCAGAGGAACAAAAGTTCAAGGTCATCCTTGACTATGTAGCTAGTTTAAGAGCAACCTAGAATATGACACATGAAATGCTGCCTTAATAATAATCTTAAACAAAGGCAGCCTAGTCTACAGAGTAAGTTCTAGAATAGCTGGTGCTATACAGAGAAACCCTGTCTTGAAAAACCTATTTTTTTTTAATTTTAAAGAATTAATTTTAAAGACTGAGCAGTAGACACTCATGCCTTTAATCCCAGCACTCAGGAGGCAGAGGCAGGTAGATCTTTTTAAGTTTGAGGCCAGTCTGGTCTACAAAGCAAGTTCCAGGACAACCAAAGCTACACAAAGAAACCCTGTCTCAAACCCTCTGCCCAAAATTTTAATTTTAAGAGGGAAAAATTGATTTTGAATACGTTAGCTCAAGTAGGCTGTAAGTAAAAGAGTGATGCCTTGGTCCTGAGAAGGGTGTGAAGGAGTGCAGTGAATTACCGGCTTACGTGTGGGAAGTAGAAACAGGTAATTCCTCAGAAGAAAGCTCACTGTAGGAGGGAGATTACTAAAAGGGAAAGATACAGAAATGGCTGCTTTAGACCCTCAGGTTAGGGGATGAGTACCTTGATGGGAGGAATTTCTCAAAATAGTAAGATAGCTTGAAGTTAGGAGAGTGTCTTGAAAACAAAATTGAAAATTTCTGTTTTGTCTTACAGTCCATAAGGACTTATTAAAAAAATTGAAAACCTTCAGGCCTGGTGTGGTGGCCCACGCCTCTAATCCCAGCACTCAGAAGGCAGAGGCAGGCGGATCACTGTAATTCAAGGCAGCCTGGTATTACAAAGCAAGTTCCAGGACAGCCAGGGCTCCACAGAGAAACCCTGAGTCTTTAAAAAAATAAAAATAAAAAAGATAAAAGCTCTTTGCCTTCCTTGAAACTCCTTGCCATGAGACTTAAGTGGAGGAAGAAACAAATGAGCAGGCTGAAGGGCAAGAGAAAAAAGATGAGGCAGTAAACTAGCTTGTCTACCCACGAAGGCTGAGGAGCAGAAGTAAGGGATGCTGAAGGCTGGGGCACTGGTACAAGTTGTTGGAGTGTGCTACCGTTGGTGTAAGTCTCAATGAACCTGCAACATCACCATCTATTTGCAGAGACCACCTGA